GTGCCGGTGGGCTGGCGGCGGTCTTGGCAGGCGGCGCGCCCGGAGGGGCTGGCGCTGGCGCCGAGGCCGCAGCTGGCAATGACTCTGCAGATGCGCGGAGCCTTATGGCGCTGTACGAGTTATCAACGGCACGAGGCATCGGTCCTTCGCTTCAGCCGTCGCACTTCTTCGTGAGATCGCCTTCGGGGGCAGGGTGGCACCTGGTCCTCGGACCGTGCACTGGGTGGCCGTGTACATGCTCGAGAACGACGGCAGCGCTCTCGACCATCATGCGCAGTGGAAGTCGATATTGCGGCTCGAAGTTGGGGATATCACGGTCTCGAACCATCATGAGTTCAGTGAGATTTCCGAGACGGCGCTGTATTGTGCTACGAACAGTTTCTCCAATCTCGCGAGTCTCGAGCGGGTCGCCCGTCAGATCCAGTTGCGCAAGGAGCGCCTCCGCGACAGGGTCTCAGGCATCAAGAAGGAGGGCGGCGAGTGCCGCGACGAGGACGACTACTTCACAGGCATGGCTACCACGCGTGGACCCATGGCGCGCCCAGTCTTGTCGACTTGGATCAACGCGCTGATCTCCCGCGGGAGCGCGCTGGTTATGCCTGAGGGCTCTGGGTCCCTCTTCGATTTCGGCGGCCTGCTTTCTCTTGGCCCGAGGCGCGCAGGCGTTCGAGTTTTCGGCAAAGAGGGGGGCATGCGCCAGCGCGACATCTTGCCCCTCTCAATGTTTCCCCGCCCCTGCCGCTGGCGGCGCCGGCTGCCTATCAGTCGCCCGACGCGCTCTCCGTCATCGGCGCGCTCTCAAGCGGGCCAACTATGGCATCTCCGCTCTCGACACTCTCTCTGGACATGCGATGCCGCCAGCCGCGGGGGCGCCGACCGCGACGCAGCGGCTGCGCCGCGACCGCGTCGAGCGTAGCTACCACGCCGTCGGCGCCTGCCCTGCTGACTTTTGCCGCCGCGGGGGCCTTCGTGAGTTCTGCGGGCGCGCCGCCATGCGCGGCGGGTGCTCGACTGCAGTCGCGCCCCGCAACAAGGGCGCCGCGTCCTGGCCAGCCGCGGGGGCGAAGCCTGCCCCGTGAACAGCGCGGTATTGGTTGCGTACCCTCCCTGGCCAAGGGGTCTGACGGCCAATGCGCGGAGGCTTCCAGCTGCGGCGGCTGCCCTCGGTCTGAGCTCGGACTGTCGCGCCCTTATCTTGACCCTGCGCTGCGCGATCGTCGAGTGCGCGGCGACTTCGCGAAGGGCCTCCTAAGCCGTGGGATGGTCCCGGCGTCCGACTTTTGCCGGCGACGCCGCCGCGGCCGGGCTGTTCTTTGCCAAGAAGACGGGGGGCGCGCAGGGGGTGATCTTCGACGCCAGGCTGGCGAACTGCGACTTCGACACCCGCCCTCGACCCGCTTGCCTTCGGCGGCCGCGCCCGGCTTGCTGGAGACTCGCGAGCGCGACGCGGCGTGGCTCAGGTGCGGCGAGATTCCGAACGCCTTCTACTCCATCGAGGTGCCCGAGGAGCTCGGTCCTTGTTTCTGTCTGCCGGCGCTGCGGGACGGCTCCGCGGGGCTGCGCGGCCGCGGCGCCCCGGCGCTGTGCGCGCCAGCGGTGGCGGCGCCCCCCGCGGGTCGGAGCCGGGCGCTGCGCCCTCGCCAGCCGGTGACCGAAGAGGGCTTGGCGAGGGGCGGTCAGGCCGCCGACGTTCTAGCCGGGGGCCCGCGAGGCCTCGGGCCCCCATCGAGCCCTCGCGGCCGCTGCAGGCCGCCGCCTACGTCGACAACCTTTCGGCGATGGGGTCTCCGCCGCGCGGGCAGATCAAAGGTTCAGCGCCCGCGAGGACGCAGCGGGGGCCGCGCGCGAGACCGATTTCGCGGGGCTCGGCTTCGACGGGGGCGGTCATGATGTCGACGCGTCGCATGTGGCGTGCGAGAGACGGGGCCCCTGCTCTGGCCACGTGCTGGAGATAGCGGTCGGGCACGCCGCCCGAATTCACGATGCTTCAGAGGTCGTCGCCGTCGGCCACCACCTCGGTCAGCCGTTTATCGAGATCCTCTGGGCGCGCACTGGCACGTCGTGGACGTCGGTGCTCGAGGCGCCGCGGCATGCGAGGTGATTGCCGCCATTGCTGGCGGCGCGCGCCGACGCGAGCCGGCGCGGGGAGGTCGCGGCCAGCGACGCCTCCCATTGGGGCTGCGGGGCATGTGAGCGGGCCGCCTCAGTCGACGAGGCGGCGCGCTGGGGCCGCGCTGCCCAGCGCCGGCGCCGTCGGCGGGGCGCCGCGGCCGCGCGAGCTCACGCGCTGCGCGGGGGCGTCAACGGCTGCGGCGACGCACTGGTGGCCGGCGACTTGCCAGACGCAGCCCGTGGAGGGCCGGCGAGCACTCGCGGGCCTTCGACATGGTCGCGGCCAGCTTCGCACACGAGGGGGCGCGGCGCATCGCGGAATCCTTTCCGTGGCGGGGCCCAGCGAACATTCTTCGTTTGGGAGGTTTCGCCGCGTCGAACTCGCTTCGCCACCTTCTTCGCACTCGCGGGGCCTTCGGGCGCCGGGTTCTCTTGCTGGTCGACGATATGGGGCTGGC